GTACAATTATAGTATTACTTTCACATACTCGAATATAGTATTTTTTACATACACACCAAACATACTGTTTAATAAATAAATCGAGCGTCTTCTCGAAAAGGACTATCCACTAAAAATAATGATGCAGAAATAATATCTGTCTGATTAATAAATAAAAAAAATATCTCCTTATTTAGAAACTGCTTTGTTTACTGAAACTGAGCAAATATGCCTATTTCGAAAGAGAAAAATATTTATTTAAAGGCACTATTCAAATTGGACCATCGACGCACTCTGACGCTGAGAATCCAAAGTAGGTCAGATCTCGGGGAATGCTGGTTCGAATCCTGCCGGAGAGATCATATTTTTCTCTAATAAGATTTCTCGAATCTTCAGGTAAGCGAAAAATAAATAAATATTCTATTTGATAAATAAACTGAGTTTCTACTCAAATACGAGTATCCACTAAAAATAACGTTTAAGATATATATATATATATATATATATATATATATATATATATATATATATATATATATATATATATATATAAAAAGATACAGAAAAAACAAACAAAAAAATTTTAATATACAATTATGCTGTATTAATATAAAGTCGACGTCGGACGTTTCGGTCTATTTAGGACCATCATCATGGACATTTTCATTTAAACATAATTAACATTAGAACATATAAAAATTTAACACAAAAGACCATGGACATAAGAGCACAACTAATCCAAACAGATAACTGAAATTTTTATATAAGATCAGCGTTCCGTTTAAATATGATCACGTTGTCGTCACGTGGGCGATGTTGTTAAAACATATTCGAAGATGATTTCAAATATTAAAATATTAAAAAAGTCGATTGAACTATTTTATATAAACAGTTCAAGAAATCACTCCCGTTGATATAGGAAATACGTAGGTTCTTCTGTCTTCATACAAGCTTGAAGTCCTTCACGTTACAATATATATATATATATATATATATATATATATATATATATATATATATATTATATATATTTGGTCTGGTGCACCTGCTATACATCTCGAGATTCTCGACAAAATTCAAAGAAGAGCCTGTAATGTAATCGATCCTGACCAGTAACTTTTTCGCACCTTTCACCTTTGGAAATCCCTTCCGATTTCTTGCTTCCCTGATAACTACAATCTTCAAAATTTTAAGTGCAACATCAACTGCCATTTTTTGGTATTCTCCACAATCCTACCCATTTTCGGTCTTCTCTTTCTCTTTCATATTCACTTCCTCGTTCTTGTGGCATTATGGCCTCGTTTGGAGTGAAACGTTAAAAAAAAAAGTCCGCCAACATACTTACATCCACGATCTCGCAGGTCCTTTAACTTTTTTCTTTATGCACGATTATCAGATTCAATCTTCTTGCTTGAGTGGCTACGTTTGTTTTGGGCATCAAAATAGGACATCGTGCATTTTTCTGTTATAAACTTTTGCATGTTTATATTAAAATATAAGGGATTATTATTTGACATTCATCAACAAGTCCCATCTAATCTAAAGCACATTTTACAATATCCACACAAACCTCATCAGCGTAATTTCATGGTATCCTCGAATTTCTCACTCATCTCATCTTGCTTTTAATTCTTGGGACACGGTTCTAATTGCGCCAACTATTATAAGTCCAAACTTTACGTTCAGTTTCTCCTCCTCTCTATGCCCAACTGAGAATCTTGGTATTTTTTCAACGTCTTGCTTTCTCTCATATTCATCCTGTTCTTTACTATATGTCAGGTTTTCTTTTCTATGTTTACAATAAAATTTGATCTTCCTACTTGGGTGTAGCGATTGGTATAACTGTCTCAATCCTCCGGTATTTTCGTCTTCAACTCGTACTACAGCACCTGCTGCTACGAATACTACTACTACTACTACAATAATAATAATAATGATGATGATGATAATAAGCAGCATTCGCATGCATTTACTAAACTAAGCCTCGCACAACAAACATCTACAACACCCAATCAAGATAGAACTCTATACAGAAAAGTATCTACTAACTACCTCACTAAGCATTATTCAACAGCGAGTTATTTATTATACAGACTAAGCAATTTTTTATTATTCTTTATTTTAGAGATTGACTTCTTGCAGCGGTGCATTGGTTTGCAGGTCCGACTCTATAAACGCTTGTGAAATAATGGACGCCAAGCTTTTGTAACCTTGTGTTAGAAGTAATAATGGTTATTTAATCGAGAGTTTGTGGTTTCTCATTGCTAAGCCTTGCAAGTATTAATTCATCATTGATGCCCAAAACAAACGTAGACACTCAAACAAAGAGATTGAAAAGACAGGCAACTAATTAAATATTGAAATAAATAAACTTTAAGGTTTTTATGTATTCTTTTTTAAAAACTCAAGAAATGATTTTGTTAATATTATGACATTTATTCACACACTCTTCATAATAAGATACATGCTACGGATATGATATTCTATGAACACGTGTTGATCAGCTAGAGTGTTCATTGATTGATTGATTTGTTATTTTTAAGCTTAGCAATCGTCTGCAGGTTATCTTACGCCCAGAAACTGATATTAGATTTTAAGAATTTTTGGGAGATAATAATTATGTCCCGATACAAGGTATACTAATTAACCCATAGCTGGGGTGAAGAAAAGCTGGATTAATATCTTTCCCAAGGTAGTTTGCGCGTAAGTGAATTTAGCGTACCCAACTGGATTGGAAGTCGGCTGTTCAATTTCCAGTTCTGTACCGTTATACATTACACCACCCACATATCCAAGTTTGCAGCACCAGAAAATCGCAAGCGGTCAATCATCTTGCTAGAGTGTGTAAATTAAGTTGACATGTGTATGTGTATGTATGGGAGACTATGTAAGAGAGAGAATGTGTGTGAGTGCTTAGGAGTGTGTGAACGAGAGCGAAAGCATGTGTGTATGTTAGAAGCAAACGTTTATGAAAGAGAGAGTCTGTGAAAGTGAAGCTGTAAATGCTAGTATATTTAAGAGGTGTGTGCGAGTGAGAGAGAGCGTGAATTTGCGTGTGTATGTGTGCGGAAGTGTAGGTATGAGCGAAAGAGATTTTTTTTTGAGAGGGAGAAAGAGAGAATGTGAGTGCAAGAAAGATTGTCCGTGTGCGAATGTTTCGGTGGATTAGAAATTGTGTGTGAGCGCGCCAGAATGAGTGTGTGTGTGTGTGTGTGTGTGTGTGTGTGTGTGTGTGTGTGTGTGTGTGTGTGTGTGTGTGTGTGTGTGAATTTATTTGCTTCCCTTTAGTCTAGCCTAAAACTAAATGCCAACTGGAATAAAGAAATGTTGATGCACCAATTTTAAAACAAGAGAGATTACGCCACTTGAAAATCAATACTCAAAGTATTTTTTTTGTTTTCTAGGATTGAACATCGACCATTAATGCCAGTGTCTATATACCTATTACTGTTTAGCCTGGCATACAGCCATATTAAAGGGACATCCACAGAAAATGATGTATGAAAGTCATTTTCCTTGAATATTTCTTAAAGTGCATCAATGCAAAATATATTAAACAGATTTAAATGGAAAAAGACTACAGCGTATCCAATCCTCAAATTTATATCGAATAGCCAACATTTAAAATATTGCCAGTTAATGATAAAAGGAAAAGTATTGTTCCATCAGACAAATCGGGGTCTATTTTGTGACGTATGTCTTTTTTCAGCATATAAAACTGGCCGATAAATTAAGTGTACAGGAAGAGAATTAATGAAAAGAATCAATATAAATAATAATTTCCTTCCCTGAGAGGAAAGCATTTGACAGAAAAATATGATTATCATTGTCGTCGTCATCAACGTGACTCTAAAGCGTATTTTCGACAACATCGTTAATAATAACCACTATCGTATTAAATGAAAGCATCATCGTCAAGTGTCAAAGCAAAAGCTGTGAAAATCAATGAACATCAGTAGGAGTCGAGGCAGTGGCACGAAGCAGCAGCAGCAACTTCCGAAACGTAATAATGAAGATGACGGTCACCATGTGATTGCTGGTGGCAGAAGTAATGTTATTGTGATGATAGTAGCAGCGGTGGTGTTGGTGAAAAATATAGGAGGGTGTGGTGTTGGCTGTATCGCTGGCAGTCATTTTTACAGGTGACGATGATGATGACGATTATAATGATAACTGTAGTAATAAAAACATATTTTACACGCAAAGATATTGCTAATTTTACAAGTACATTAACAGACCGATCACCATGATGTAAAAAAAAGCTACTCAAGCTACAGATTATAAAGTATGAGTTTAAATTCAAAATAATGCACATTAGTTTGTAACGAACCGGCGTCTTTATCTGATGAGCCAAGACTCTTTATTTATGGTGATCCATGCGATGGTAGCTGCATCGGCACATTTATAGAAATGGTGGTTCTCGTTGTTAGTGTAGGTGGAAATGGAAACAACCGTATTGCTAGTGAAAATAGTGGTGATAATGATTATGGTAGTGGGGAGGCAGTTATAGCGCTTGATGAGGTAGTGACGGTGGCCATAGCAAAGAAAGATGGAGATTAGCACTGCCAACCGCAGGCTCCTCTCTCAATAACGGACTCTCGCTGATTTAATTACGTTTAATTATGCCTATAGAAACGTTGAACTGTAAGTCACCACAGAGGGTAAACATAAAATCTGATGAGTTAATAGCAGCCGATTCGCCTGATCACAAAAACTTTGTGGTAGGACTCCACCGTAGAGGGAATCCAGTTTTGTGAGAGAAGAGCCGTACTTTGCCGTTCCGTAATTAGTACTTTTGATAGAGTGTAATAACACTGGAACCGTTGCCAAGGAGACGGTCGTGCCGCCGGAAGTGTTTCTGGCTTAACGAGGGAGCACATTCTCTGTATAAAAATTCTTTTTTTTCTTTTGGGGTGTCGATGTTGAAAATGTTACGAAAATACAAAATCGAGAACGTATTTTCTTACGCTGACAGTGGACAGTGGTTTGTTTCATTGTTGATTCATTCTTGAATTACACGTTCAATTTCCTCTCGCAGAGGGCAACGGAAGGAAAAGCGAAATAAAAGAAGACAAAAAGCGAGAAGCGAAAGATTTGCCGAATATGAGTGGAGAAGGAAGAAAAGCGGGAAATGAAGCAAAAAAGGGAAAAGGAATAAGAAAGTCGGCAGAAGAATTTAAATGTAAAGAAAAGAAATAAAACATATGTGGCATGAAGCGGAATTCAGTGGTTCTAAATTTGATGGTAGAAGGAAGGAAGGAAGGAAGGAAGGAAGGAAGGAAGGAAGGAAGGAAGGAAGGAAGGGAAGGAAGGAAGGGAAGGGAGGAAGGAAAGAAGGAAGGAAGGAAGGAAGGAAGGAAGGAAGGAAGGAAGGAAGGAAGGAAGAAGGAAGGGAAGGAAGGAAGGAAATGAGGAAGAAAATGAAGGAAGGAAGGAAGGAAGGAAGGAAGGAAGGGAGGGAGGGAAGGAAAGGAAAGGAAGGGAGGGAGGGAAGGAAGGAAGGAAAGGAAGCAATGAAGGAAGGATGGAAGGAAGGAAGGAAGGAAGGAAGGAAATGAGGAAGGAAGGAAGGAAGGAAGGAAGGAAGGAAATGAGGAAGGAAGGAAGGAAATGAGGAAGGAAATGAGGAAGGAAGGAAGGGAGGGAGGGAAGGAAGGAAGCAAGGAAGGAAGGAAGGAAGCAAGGAAGGAAGGAAGGAAGGAAGGAAGGAAATGAGGAAGGAAGGAAGGAAGGAAGGAAGGAAGGAAGGAAGGGAGGAAGGAAGGAAGGAGGAAGGAAGGAAGGAAGGAAGGAAATGAGGAAGGAAGGAAGGGAGAGAGGGAAGGAAGGAAGGGAGGAAGAACCAAGAAAAAAAGAACAGAAGTATTTGAAGTAAAGAAGAAAACATTAACAGAAAAGATTAAAAAGTAAGAAACAGGTTTTATTTGACTGATTTGTTTTAACGACTTCTAAACCTTTTGAAGACAGAATTTTTATTTTAAGAATGTTTTGGAAATAATAATGATTTTATTGATGCAATTCCTAATATATAACCCATATCTTAGGAAGAGAGGTGGATTCGTATCTATTCCAATAGTATTTGCGCGTAAGTGAATAGAACCGCCTGAGCCGTCATTCATTACATCCAAACTTACTTCTCCTGGTACTCCCAAGCAATCATCCATCTAGGTACTGATCAGGTTCGACATTGCTTAACTTTGGTGATCTGACGAGAACCATTGATTCAATGTGATGTGAACGCAAGCCAGTAAGAATCAGGGAAAGTCTACAGAAAACAAAAACTTGCACTGAAATGAAAAATATGGACTTAAATGTATTTGCGAACCACAAGTTAAAATACAAGAATATGAAAGTGAAAGTCATGGCCATACGTCCTCCGGAAATGACCTTTTCTAAGAGTCTAGAAGACTTTGAGATCGGCGAAACAACTGAATCATGACAAAGATGAGAGTGGAATAGAGGTCTAGTAATATTGTATTGTACTAATTTTCCAGGGCGAGACAAATGGATTGCTTTCAAATTCAGCACTCAAAATGGTGGCTTTTATGTACATATAACGAAAGATCAGTGTTCAAATAGTGGAAAATATATCATTATTTCGAGTTGCGTAGGAACCATGACAGTTATCAAGGCGGAAAGGGGGAATCAATGAATCTGGATCCGATCGAGTATGTTGCGTTCGCTTTCGCACAAATGTCCTTGAATCTGTCTATACTCTCCCCAGCAAAAGGTTAAATATCAAAATTGACTGGGATCTCTAGCTTTGGGTGGCAGCAATCTAGAAAAATCTAGAAAAACCCTGAATTCAAAATCGGGTAGAAGGCAACGTGAAACCACTTCAGTATCTTTCCCAAGGATCCATGGCAATACGATGAAGAGGCTCTATCTATAAAAAAAAAAAAAGCAATGATCGCCTACGTCGTTAAGTTAGATGGAATTTTGTTAATAAAACTACGATTTTTATGTCACTTTTCAAGAGAAATACACAGGCATGGAGGCAGACTCTAAGCAATTAGGAAGATAAGGAATCTCAACATCCTTATCTCCAATTTGTGCTTTGTTATACTAATTTAAACTAAGTGATTATCATGAAATCAGAGATAACGTCACAATCAAGCAAGAATGAAAATTTAACTATATGAAAAATGTTTTAACTGATGTCAGAAAATATTACACAGAAATCGAAAGGCACATTGTTATCGGGAAAGATGCCTTCGAGAAACTAAACATATATTAGAAACTGGTAAATTTCGTTGAAAACAAAAGATAATAGTGGTCAAATGTTATGCAATATCAATATTTTCCTTTTACATAATAGTGAATATTTTCTCGCAGTTGAAAGCGTGACTTGTGGTAACAAAGATGTGGTTCTAGAGAATGATACTAAGAATAACATGGATGGAACATGTGAGCAAACCCTGAATCCATCATAAAAATACAGGATGTAGAATTAGTAAATACTTCAGATACCTCGACGTATGCATCTGCGAAAACAAATTATGTAATTGAAAGAAATTGAATATAAAATAGGTTGTGCCAGAGATAATTTCGCATAACACCGCAAATTGCTAGGAAACTAAAACATCAACTTAAAAATTCGAATGGTGTTCCTAAATAGACTCGGCAGATCGAGACTTTCAAAAGGATGTCATCGAACCCGTTCAAAATTATCTAAACTGTTAGCTGCATACAACCGCTTCATAATAATGAAAAAGAGGCTTTGAGCGAATAAAGCCTGAGGGCCTTGGCAAGGATCATTCTTGTTTGAACATTATGGACGTTACAGAATCACAAACAAAGAACTGTACCAAATAACAGAAATCACATCACCTGAGGAATATTTGTGACAGCAGCAACAACTAAAATGGATACCACATGTGACTCGAAGAGAAAATAAGGTCATAGGATGTTAACATTCCACACCACTTCAAATAGAAGGTTCGGAAGGACCCTCTCCCCCATTAATACTGGAAACGGCTTATGGTAATTGTTCGAATGAGCTCTTCACTATAGTACCTAGGTTTGTTTTTTTTTTTAATTTAAGCACAGTATTAGCGTCAAGATCTCAATTGACAGTTGAGCTGGAAGCTGGATAGATGTAGCTGTAAATTCTCTCGCGCTTCTCGCTTGTGGAACTCCCTTCCGGCTCTATGCTTTCCAGCCAACTTTAATCTGCAAAAATTTAAATGCAATGTCAATCGTTATCTACTGTCCTCCTGATTCCTCTTTTCTCTTTCTGCTCATTATTATTATTTCTGTTCCTAATTCTTCCACATCCTGTAACACCATGTGTTTTAGTGGCATTACTGCATTGTATGAAGTGATACCGATTAAAAAATATTATCAAAATATCAGTAACATATATATTGATCTTGGGCAAGTTGATGGTAGAATATACACTGGGAGGGATAGTATAAGCTCAAATTTTGCTTAGAGATCCAAATGAGAAAAAGATTTGGAAATTCATCATTGTCTACGCTCTGAATGGATACGACACATACGACTAGAATTCAAATTTTCTGCAAATAACGCAAGTGACTCTTTTTCGACAATGCACAAAAATCACATGAAACCTGTCTTTGAGATTAGAAATCATAGAATATTGAAAACCTTTTAAATCAGTCGACGCAAGCTAAAATATTGATGTGGATGGTTCGAACAAAACATAAATTATCTATCAAACTGTGGACATGGATCTTCCGACGAACTGCTGGATACTGAGAAAATAAATGAAAAATATCAGAATTCGAGCGGGAAAATACAGAACAGTAACATAAGAGTCGTTTCATTGAGTCATTGGCACACTGGAAACATTTCTAATGCTCTTCAGACTGAAAAATTGATTGATTCGTTTTCGACGGATTTGCAGGTTATTTAAAGCCAGAAAATATTTTTTACAGATAATAATGATTTTAGTTATACAAGTTTTACTAATTAATCAACGGCTGTAAGTGGAAGTGGTGGATTCATACTTTTCCCAAGGTATTTGCGCGCAATTGAATATAACGAACCGAACAAGAATTGGAACTCGGCACTACGAATAACAATTCCAAGTCACCCGCATATCCTCGCTTACAGCATCTGGTATTTCCATGTGGTTACACATCTAGGTACTGACCAGGTTTGACGCTGCTTAACTTCGGTGATCGTACGGTTGTGATGACCGTAAGCCGAATGTGAAAGAAAGAAAGAGTATTAAGAATTAACTTTGACACATTTCAAACCAACGAGAATACTGGAAGAGTCTCTAAGAGATTCAGCTTTCTCTTCATTCGATCCCTGATGATAATTACCCAACAACATCACTATACAAAGCCGAAGTGCCACTCAAATTAGAGTGTTCATGAATGGTTTTGCTTTATGGGTTTAAGAATGGTAGATTATAAGGATATGGAAGATAAATAACAGTTGACCCTAGACTTGTAGAAGTCAAGATTGGAGCGGACAGAGAAGTATTCTCATAGTTCTCGACAAAGCAACGGCTCTTCAGGAGAAGCTGTACGAATGTAACTTCCAATGAAATACGAAGAGAATGACGATGATTTTCTCCCGTATACACGACATAGCCGTTCTTAGATGTAAAGGTCTGACCTGACGGAACTAGTGAATATAGCTGGTCAGGACATTTTCCAATGAAAAAGAAACAAAGTATCGATAGGATTGTGACATTGCGTCTGAGATAGATAGATAGATAGATAGATAGATAGATAGATAGATAGATAGATAGATAGATAGATGTGAACATTGACTTATTAGAGAAGAAATGAAGGCGAGTTAGATTGACAGGAACCTAGCTTACATACCTAGAAGTAGCCTTTGACGTATTGAATGAAACTCAGACGTCCCCGAACCTCCTGTGTCAGTCTGGTATCTCACATCACCATCTTTCTATTTCAGTTTGTAACTTTGATATTTTGACTGCTTCCCGTTCAATCCACCATTGTCTCTTCCTTTCAATCAGCAAACAATTTAATCTTTGCATTTATTTCTCTTTACTTTACCATCAATCCTCATCAGTTAACATTTACGTTCGTCGCACTTTATCTATTTTCTCAACAGACGGACTTTTCGTTAGACAATCTTCTGCACTTGAATAAACGGTTATCCTCTCTACACACACTTATTTCTAATATAATGTCTTCTTTAGGTACTTGTCCACCATTTGTCCATTTCTTCCCTTCTTTCAACTGTGCGTTATTGATTTAAGTATCAATCTTCGTTTTTCTTCATTTCTTAAATTTTTACTTATTTAATTTCTTTTTGTCTTTTTTCTATCACCCATTTTTTCTTTCTAATTCTGTTTCTTTCGCTATCTGTTGCTGTTTTTATCTGACATTCACATTTTTTGTTTCTTTATTTTATCTTTTTCTTTTCTCATTTTCTTTCTTGTTTTCTTTATTTTATGCTTTTTGTTTATTATCCGTTTTTTTTCTATTTTCTTTCCTTTCTTCTAATTTTGTTCCTTTTAATCTTTATACCATTTTTCATTCATTTTAATTCCATATGTAACATAATGTATCTTCTCTTCAGTCCCTTCCTCGTTCTTTATTTCCAGTTTCCATACATTTGCTTCTTTCTTTTTTTCTTCGAATTTTCCTTTTTCTTGTGAAATTTCATTTTTCTTTTTCTTCCGTAGTTATTGCTGCCTTTCTTCCTCCTCTGTGTGTGTTTTCTTTCATTCCTTCTGCTATATATGAACTTGTATGCTTTTTTTTCACACCAATTCTAAGTTCCTTTCTCTCCCTTCCTTTATTTTGTAGTTTCCTTTAATAATTTTTCTATTGTTCTCTAATTTCTTTGATTTTATTGTTTTTTTTTCTTCCTTTTTGTTTTCCTTGTTTGTTTTCATTGTTTTATTCTTTCTTCTCCTTATTCGTTACTTCTCTACTGTTTTCCTCTTTAACTTTTCCCTTTATACGTTAGTCTTCTTTCTTTTATTCATCATCGGATTTCTTCTCTTACAAATATCTGAAGAGTCATAAGTTGTTCAGTTTGTAGAATAGAGAATTGAACCTTTGCGTCTATCCTAACGCACGACATCCGTCTGTAAGTAATCTTTCACCGGATGATGATAACATATATAATGAATATTAACTTCCAATAGAAAGAAAGAAAGAAAGAAAGAAAGAAAGAAAGAAAGAAAGTAAGTAAGTTTTGTTTTGTTTTTTTTTAAGATTTGTCTTTCCTTCGAAACAATTAAAGTAAAATTTTGATAAAATAATAATTAAGTGGAAAGAAAGAAAGAATGAACAGACGTCGTTGGACCAAGATACGAAAGAATACATGACTAACGGAAAGGAAGACGTTATGGATTGATCAAGATAAAAAAGAAGATATGACTGACTAAAAGAAAGAAAGAACAGACATCGATCGACCAAGATAGAAAAGAATAGGACAGACAGAAAGAAAGAAAGAAAGAAAGAAAGAAAGAAAGAAAGAACACGGTAAGAAAGAAAGAAACAAAAGAGAAGATATTGATCAAAATAAAAAAGAATATATGACAGATTGACTGAAAGAAAGAAAGAAAGAATGAACAGAATTTGATCAATCAATATAAAAAATATATGACTAAAAGAAAGAAAGAATTAATAAAAATAGAAAAGGAAAATACATTTTACTGTGGTAAAGAAGGAAGGCTTAAAGGAAAAAGATAAAATATGGTGGATAAACTGATGAATATATTATGTCTGCGTAGAAGAATACTGAAAAATCTGTGCTGTATGTGCGCATGCGTAATGTTTGCTCTCAACGACGTTTTTGTGTCCAGGAAGACATTGATTTGGTGACGGTAGTTAATTGCAGCTTCTAATCAGAAATGCCTTCCGCCTTTCATTTTGGCCAAACGCGGCCAATTCATCCGATTTATCGATGAGGACAAATCCATCGATTATGCCGACTGAGGACCACGGACTGTAATAGATTGCTACCGGCACATATTTTGTGCAACCGCCAGAGACGTTCCACCCAAATTTCGATCGACGGAAATTCGCCTTCTTTTCGTGCGAAGCGCTTTGCACGGGAGACATGGAAACCCGTTATGAGATCCGATAGATATGTTGCAAGTCGAGCTGTGTACAGCTTTGTCAGCGGGAACTGTAGTGATTGGATCGCTTGCTTGGTTCACGATTTTCAATATTGATTGACCTTTTTTTACCTTGAAGACATTATCAAGATGGCTTTGAAGCTGACTTTTACTTTCGGAATTACGGCTACTAATGACGTTTCTGGTGTCACTTCTATTTTCCCGAAACGCAGCGTAAAGAAGATGGGTCGAGTTAAAAACTACAGAAATGGAATCAACGATCTGGATCAAATTTTTATTGAAGCTGCGTTTTCAAGATAATAAACCGTGAAGCTTTTAGTAACACGCGCGCATGTTCTTCTATGTGCCGTGTCCCTTCAGGACGTTGACGATCGGGACTTTCTACAATGTCCTACCCTTTGAAACTCGTAATAAATCTTGTCTTTTTGTTATCTCTTTTAAACTTTGTTCCGCTATCCATTCACTAGTGTGACGTCCCTCCACAGCCTTCGCTCGCTCCTCGCTGCTTCGTTCGGGTGTCGCCGTTCCAAACGTGACGTCCGCCTGTCTGCGTCAGTCGTGTTGTCCCGTCCTGTGACGACCAACTGGTTTGGTATTGGTCGCGGCACCCAAATGTGACGTTCTAACCTTTTGGTGATTCGGATGGGGATCTGGTCAGATCCGATATCAGCCTCATCGTTCCCAACTCGCTTCCAACGTCTGGTTACCAAAGTAACTGCGTTGATCTCTAGTCCGCCTACCCACGTTGTGAATTGATCTTAGGCAGACGAAATCAATCAGTCGTTGGGGCCGTAACGCAAGTTGAGTTCAAATGAGTGTGGTATCGCACAAATATGTGTAAAAGAAAATAAAATAATAACTCAAAAATTCAAGGTATCAAAAAAAAATGGATAACAATACTTTATATCTGGTTGCTGGATATATAGGACTGCGTCTATCTCCCGACCCGCTATATGGATTGTGACACGTTGTTTTTTTTAGGTGAGTTTTAACATCTTAATGTTCTACCCTTTGAAACTCGTAAAAAATCTTGTCTTTTTGTTATCTCTTTTAAACTTTGTTTCCGCTATCCATTCAGGTAGGTTATACGTTGTTTTTCTCTGTCACGTTTGCCTTCAGTCTGCCCTGTGGATATCACATTTTCTAATCCCTCTTTCTTCATTAAGTGCCCTAGAAATTCCAACTGTTCTTTTTGTTTCCATTTTCTCTAAAACTTCGTCATTGCTCACATGTTCAGTACATGATATTTTCAGCGTCATTCTGTAGAAGTATATTTCTGTTGCTTCAAGACATTTTTCATCTGTAATGAGAGTGTCCAGCATTCACTGCAATATAGGACTGATAATACATAACAGTTCAGTAACGTTTTTAATAATAGCCCGAAAAACGTAATATTTAGGCCAGTGTTACTCATTCGGTGTTCCCTGGAACCCAAAGGTCTCTGTAAATGGTTTCTAGGGGTTGCACGAGAAACAGTGATAAATAGGCTTATTTTTGAGTAATTTTTGAGCAATTTTATATTCATTATTTTACTATACAATTACGGCATATTTTTGGAAAATCCTTGATAATTATAATAAAGCCTTCAACCACTTATATTATTTGAAATTTTAATAATCATAGGGAATGTATTTAACGATGTCTACATGGCATTTTTACGGAATTTTTTTACAGGATTTCCTGACACATGAAAACTATTTAAACGGTTCCACTAGACTAAAACGTTTGTTAAATATTGGTTTAGACTGTATATATCTCTACTTAAATGATATTGGGCATTGTATTTTAAAAAAATGAACGTTAACATGTGTTTGTGTTATGGCGGGTGAATTATTTTTTTTCCGTATGAGTTACGAATCCACATCGTCAAGTGTTGTAGAGTGAACGAAAAGTTTTTTTTTTTTGTTGTTGTTTTTTTTTTCTCCGTATGAGAAAGAATCCTCGTCGCCAAAGTTGTTATATATGGCGAACGAATATTTTTTAATTTTTTTTTTTTTTAGTTTCCTCCGTATGAGTTTCGAATCCTGGTCGCCAAAGTTGTTGTAAGGTAGTTTCACAGTGGAGGTTTGTATTTCACTAAGTCGGTCCTAAAATAGGTTCGACGTACAAAACGTTAGGAACTTGATAAAATAGTTAATGACGCAGCAATCTAGTTGTGGTTGTTGATACTTTAATGTCCGACATGACTCACCAACTCACTGAGCCCCTGACAACTGCTTACTATTCCTACTTATTATATGTGGGAGAGTCTATTAATAATAGAATAGGTATGTTCCAGCATAACAGTTTGGCTGAATTGCATAGAAGGCTACTAAGTTCTTTTATATTTCGTTTACATTTACTTGTATTAAAAACCAAGTTTAATTTCGTTATAGTATCATGCAGGCATTTTCATAAAATGGATATCAACAGATATCTTAGACTCCACTTAAAAATATCTCCACTATTTTGCATGCCTTCTGCCGAGTCAAATGTTCCCATAGCAATGTTAAATTCGTTATTATTTCTTCTAGTCCACATACACCAGTTATGATACAGCATTGATTTAAGGACCTGTCTGATTATTCTTATTTCCTTCTTGCTAATAGTGCAATAGTTTTTAGCTAAGTTTATAGCACCCATTAGACGCTATTCAATAATTAACGCGAAGACACCACTGACATCAAACTGAATGAATTCACGCACATTTTTCCTTTTATTTTTCTAAACTAGTATATGTCTTTTTTTCATATTATTCCACTGATTAACTTCCAAATTATTTCTTGTATGTTATGTTTTGGGTCCATAACGGTAATAAAAGCTTGATGCTTTTACAATCTGTTGATTCTATCACCGATCTTTAAATTAGCAGCTATTTCTCTGTTTTTTTTTTTTGTGTGTGTGTGTGTGTGTGCGCGCGCACGCGCGTATGTGTGTCTGTGTGTTTGTGTGCATGTTTGCACATGCATACAATAGAACGCTGCAAAGTTCTCGGCCTAACTAAGCTTTTCTCATCAAAAGTCTTATGTCCCATCAATTTACGTTTTAGCCGAATCAACAAATTTTCCGCATTTTCTTATATGGTAGGCAAAACGAAAATAAGTTTTATAAGGAATTTCGAAACTTTCATTACATTTTTAAAATGTAAATTTGTTTAAATTGCTTGTATTTCTTTGCGCCATGTACCCGGCTTGTTTAATAACGGCATTTTAATCATCGAAATCTTAATCGAAAATTTTAAAAAATCATGAATAATCATGATCAACTGTAATTTTGATCCATGCTTTTTTGCGAATGGAAATGTATGCATTTAATATGTATGGAGGCTCCATTGCGCAATAACCAAATTATTTCTCTACTCCTTCTTAAGCTACCGTTTTCCACTGATATGAAGTGGAGCGATTATATCGAATTAATTGCTACTCTACTCCTAGGAAAGTTGGTTCACTGTGTAGTTCCAGAAAATTTTTCTCGTCAAAATCCATTTGCTATTCATCTGTACATTGAATATTACTGCCATATATGCCCTGGTGCTCCTAATGTATATGTCGGGATTCTTGACAAAATTAAAAGAGGGGTCTCTAAAGAATGGATTCTTACCCTGCATCGCGTCTCCAGTCACTTTCTCACCGTCATGACCTGGCTTAACTGTCTTTTCTACGAATATTTTCATGACAACTATTCTGATGAGCTTTTTTTCCTTGCTACCTCGAATACATGAATTTAAGCTTACTACTATATTAATAACTAGATCTTACCGTTTTACTGTTGAACTATCTAGCTAGCTAGCTAGAAAGATCATTCTGGAGTTCTGAAAGTTGTGTTTTTGTAGCTGTATTTAACTCAGAATCTATTCTTACGTTTATCATGAAAATTATTTGAGATCAACTTTGATCCAGTGACAACGTGATCGTATTTAATTAAAATATGCCTCCCCTTTTTTTTAATAGGTTAATATTGAAAGTATAGCCAATACAGAAAAAAAACCGTTTCTTGTCTAAACGTAAACAATGCGATTCTCCAGCGGCAGTCTTTTCTCATGGTGACTTTGACTTACGATGAACCTTCTTTGCGGTGAACTTTTCTGTGGTGAACTGATGGCGGTGAACATACCTGTAAACATACAAAAATGTCTATTTTCCAAAGAATTTATTTTAATCCGAAGTTATTCAAAGTTTATTTCTTGTAAACAAGAATGACACGGAACAGGGAATTTTGTGTTCACTTCTCTCAAATATCTCTAAAAAAAAGTCATGAATCTATATTTCTTAACAACCCGTCAATGATTAGCGAAATAGCAATTCAGGTCAGGTTCTCTATGGAGAAAAACATTCTGAATTGAAGACAGTGGAAAAAGCAACAGGAAAGTATAATTCCTGAAAACTATCATGTTAGTTTAGGAAAATGTGGAAAGCCATTTTAGCATTCAAGATACAGAAGCAAATAATGATATCTTTATCATCACTAAGCAATCAGAGATAGCAATGGTAACGGCAATCGTAAAATAAGCTGTTTCTTTATAAGGAAATAATTGGTATTCATTGACCGAGCAGCCAGTACTAAAGTCGATTAAAATTTCTAAAATCTTTCTCTTAAAACATTTTTTTAAGAAATAGATTTCTCAAGTCTAGTAACTGTTTTTGCTCTTGATGATTTCTTTCCTAACCTATTATTTGAAGTGATATGAAATGTTAACATCTTGATTATGTCATTATTTTCTCTTCGAGTAACATTTAATATCAATTTTAGTTGTTGCTGCTATTGTAAAGCCTCAAGTGATATTGTTTCTGTTATTTTGGTATAGGTCTTTGGGATCCTGTAGCATCAGTTCACAAGTTTCGAAGAAGAATGGTCTTTGACAAGATCCACTGAACTCCCGGGTTAAGCCATTTTAATCTGAGAAAGCGATTGTATACAGCAGACAATTTAAATAGTTCTGGACGTGTTTGGTGTCATGCATGACGTCTGAACTTAATGCGGCTATTTAAGGACATGATTTGAGAT